TTGCCCATACTCTCTGATCCAGTGGCATTGACCTCATTATTGCTCCTCAAAAAACAAAAAACAAAAAACACCAAACTGTAATCTCCTCACTTCAGGCATTTTCACTAGTTGTCCTTCATGGCTGGAATTTCCTCTTTCCTCCCTTCCTTCAGGTCCCAGTAAAAATTCTCCCTCCTCTAAGGAGCTTTACCAAATCCCCTTAGTCCTAGTGCTTATCCTCATTAACTATCTTTATCCTTTATATATCCTTTGTGCATAATTATTTCAAATTGTCTCCCCCATTAGACTTCAGAGTAAGGTCTTCCCCTCCTCCTTGTTCTTATCCCTAGTGTTTACCACAGTACTTGACACATAGTAGGCACTTAATGAATGCTTGTTGTCTAATGATTTTCTGGCTTCAAATCCAGTGTCTTTTCAATGATATCAATTTGAACCAAACTTTACATGAGTATAATTTCCAGGTGTGCCAGAGTATAGTTTATTTTTGTTCTAACAACTACTGGAATAAAAAGTCTTCTTTAGAAATGTTTTAGCTTCCAATGGCCATGGAACCTTGGCCATCTAAAACCCCAGGCCAGTCGCTGACAGCTTTGGTGCTTGAAAACACTCTCCTGCTGCTCCTGGCATCACTCTGAAAGAAAGGTCTGTCACTTCCTCAGAGTTAAAATGTCTCTGTTAGTTTGGCAGCAAAACTCCAGAGACCAACTTGTCTGCAGCTGGAAGAAGAGCATTGTCTCTGTTCTCCTCAGTCGATCTGTCTGAAGTCTCAAAAGAGGCCCCTCCACAAGGTGGCTGGATTTATCCAGTCTGACCAGGCTTAGGACACTCCTAACAAGTCTCCTATCTTCAACTGTTCTGTTTTTACTATTTTGCTTTTGCTTGTCTTCTACTCTCCTCTTCTTAAATCTTACCCAGAGCCATACCTAGGAATCTTTGTACATGGGGTAAATTCATCTGGTGGTAGGGGTAGTCATGGTGGGAGAGGGGGCAATTTGCCCCAATACAGTCTAGTACCGTGGCCCCCTAAGTACTAAAATTTGGATTCAGTCAAAGGGCCACACTTTAGGGCCACACGTGCCTTGAGACCATAGGTGCCGAACCCCTGGTCTAGCATATAACCTGGAATCTTGGTCAATTGTCTCATGGGGAGGAAGGAGGAAGAGAATTTGTCACTGTACAAGGTACACAGCAGTAGGACAAGACAGATATTCTAGAGTGGTGGCTAGATCTGGGTAAAACTATTAGCACCTTACTCTTTCTTTCCCTCCCCTCCCCCTTTTCAAGGAAACTCTCTATATCATATATGCTGGATGTATGGTGGTCAGTCATAGACCTGGTCTAAATACTAATTGTCACAGGAGTTTTGACTTGCTTTTGTTTCCAACCCCAGCCTGCTTGCCCCTTCTTAGGCAGCCTGGTGGCCTCCTACTTCCTGGATGGGGTGAGAATATACCATATTGGTGCTAAAATTAATGCCAACAGTTGATAAGCTTAACTTGTAGAAACTCACGACTCTAACTCAAATGACCTATTTGCCTCAGCTTCTCAGTATCAGGGATCACTAGTGTGTACCACCATACCCAACAACCCAGACTGTTTCCTTAGGGAGATCTTGTCAGGGCTACCTTTTGCTTCTGAATAACATAGTTTAAATATAACAATTAAAAAAATCATTCATCACTGTTTCCTCATAGCAAATATGGTATTTCTCATGTTCTTATCAATGCACAATAAAAAAGTAAGGACATCTTTGTAAAGAGAGCAGTAATTAGTCTATTACATGACATGCAGGTATGATATGGATATCATGTGGTCTTCCAGCAGCAGCTAGGTGGTGCAGTAGATTGAGTGCCAGGCCCGGAGTCTGGAAGACTCATCTTCCTGAGTTCAGATCTAGCCTTAGATATTTACTAGCTGTGTGACCCTGGGCAAGTCACTTGACCCTGTTTGCTTCAGTTTCCTCATATATAAAATGAGCTGGAGAAGGAAATGACAAACCACTCCAGTATCTCTGGAAAACCCCAAATGGAGTCATGAAAAACCAAACGTGACTGAAACAACTGAATAACAATAACATGGTCCTCCATCTGCAGAGAATCAAATATTTGTATGTGTGTATGTATATATGTATGTGTATATATACATACACACATATGTTTGTGTTTATATATATACATATGTCTGTGTGTGTGTGTGTGTGTGTGTATATATGTATATATATATATGTATATATATATATATATGTATATATATATATATATATATATATATATATATATATATATATATATATGTATGTACGTATAGGTCATAGTAAAGTTGAGCAAAAGCTGATTTTGTTACTCTAACAATTCTATGATTCTGTTACCTCAACAGGTCCTTTTTTTAAAAGGTACTTTGAGACAACCAATGCTGTTTGTTCATAGTTTGCACCCACCCCTTTAATTTTAGTGTAGGATCTCGGGCTTGTTACTTGATTGGACAGTGGCTGGAATGATTAGACAGATGTCACATTGCACATGCACACTTCACCAGGGCAGATCTCTGGGATGGGAGGAGAGGGCTTTGTAAATATAGGTTTTATACTAAGTAAGCTGTGGAGCAGATGGTGAAGTACAAACTTCTGCACTCTATTTACCGAGGGACATCTGCTATGCTAACATTTAAACATAATGGATCTCAGAGGCAGAAGTCTTTCAATTCACAGAAGCTATCCCAAGTCATTAGCAATGGCGACTGGCCCATTTAGCTGCTCTGTGATTTTTGGAATAGTTGAGAATTTTCCCCAGAACCATTCTAACAGAAAAGCATCTAGAAATGATTTGTACTAATATGTTAAAATTAGTTAAATGCTGTACTAAGCCTGGGCTTAGTATGAGTGTTGTGTTTATGTTGCCATCTGCTAAATTTACAAACCTAGACCCCAAGCGTAGTAGCCAAGGTGGAGCTATCATTGATCATGCCCTTTTCTTTTTGTAGATGACTCTGAACACACATGTTTTCTTATCATAGAATTTGTGAGCTGGAAGAAAACTTTGTGGTGTTATAGCCCAATTCCTTCATCAGTGCATGATTCCCCACTAAAGCTGGGCATCTTTTTTCATGTTTTCAATTCCATGCTAGAAAATCTCCAGTGATGATGAACTCATACACTCTATTTAGACAAGGCCTCTTTTTCCCTGAGGGAGGAGAAGGAGCATATAGACAAGTACAGTTAGAATAATTGACGAATCCATGAATGTGACATTTGAAACCAGTGGAGTTGTACCAAGTCTTTTGTTTGTCTGTTACCTGAACTAGTCCTGATCATTGGATTTGAAGGTACTTGGGAATTGATTATGCTAGACTGAGACATGTAGAAGAGGTTCCAGTTTCTTAATATCTATTTAATATAAAACTACATAACCCCTGCCCCAGCTCCCAGGGGCCACTTGAAATCAGTCTGTAGATCTAGACAGATCTGATTTTATTTGTGAATTTGCTTTCCAGAATGAGAGTGAGATTGGAAGGTGTTAGTGAAAAGTGAAAACATGATATTTTATGTACTTTTGTGAGTGAAGTTGCTACCAGTGGCTTCTGAACTATTAATAAACCCTATCATTAAATTAGAGGTAACTGTGGCTAGTTTGTGTTCCTTGAAATACAGAACCAGACCAAGAGAAGAACTCATTGCCTCCTTAGGCATCTCTTTCTGTTGTTGTAGACCTCTGAATATTGTGAAGTTCTTCCTGAAATTTGAACACGTTCTGAGTTTCTGTTACCAGACGTCGACACTCTCTGTTCCTAGTTCTGCTCTGAATCTAATTCCCATCCCCCATCTTAAAAAAAAATAGGACAGCCCTTCAAATATGCCATATGCCCAATCACCTTGGAGATGATTTGCTTTTATTGTATGAAAGATTTGGGATTAACAGGCTATATTTCTTTCTTCAGGACCATGTCTTAAACCTAAATTACTCTGGCTCTCACTGATTGGCCAATAATAGGTCCCAGGCCAAACCCCACTTGGTCATTGTTTGGCCACAAATTGACTCAGAGTGAATATAAATAGGAATTGTTTCTGTTTTGGCCTGAAAACCAGTGGGTCTTCCCCTCCAAGTCTGCTTTTTTTTTTTCTGGACTAAGTTAAAGAGGCCGTTTTTTGCCTCATTTTTTAAAAACCTAGTCTTAATCAATGAATGGCCATTGCCTCAGTCAAACTGAGACCTGCTAAAGACCCTTAGCTTGAAAAGGCCAAAGTCTTCCACCATATCTGGGGCTATCTCCAGTCATCCTAATGTGTATCTGGCCACTGGACCCAGAGGGCTCAGAGGAGAAAGTGAGGCTGGTGACTTTGCAAACTTAAATCCTCCCTCACTTAAATCCAAATCTCTTACGTTTCATGGCATCACCTCCATGATGTCATGGTCCTCTGAGAAGGAAGGACAAACAACAACAACAACAGACATTGAATTGAAATGTCTTTGGTAGGGTAGGAGGGAGAGTAAGACATGACATCTCTACATATTCAAAGCTCTTAGTCTGGAATCAACATATTCTAGAACAATTCTTGCAACAGAATATTTACTGTTGAGTAGAGAACTAGGTTTTCATACAACTCCTTCCAGCCACTGAGAATTCAATAAAGTGATTTCACTTTTGGAACAGTGAAAAATTGGAAACAAAGTGGTTGTTCATGAATGAGAGAATGACTGAACCAACTGTGTTGTATGAATTTGGAATAATATTGTGCTGTAAAAAAATGTGAATATGAGGAATTCAGAGAAATATAGGAATATTTATGTGAACTGATAGAGTATAAAATAGGAAGAATCCAAGCAATGAAATAGACAGTGACTCTAACAACGTAAATGAAATCAAGCAAGAGAAGTTAAATTCTGAGTACCTGAAAAGCCAATAATGGCCCAGGAGAACGAATAATGAAATGTATCCCTCTTCTCATAGAAGAGAGGCAGAGTCTCCAAGAGCATCAAAAGTGGTAGAAAGAACTGATTACTTACATTTTAGAGTACAGGTCAGTAAAAAGCTTTATTCCTTCCACAGTTATAAGCATGGAGAAGCATTGGTGAGCTCATGGAGGAGGAAGATTCTATGGAGCAAGTGGTGTTCTGTGTGCACGCCATTTCCCATAGGTATTTATTGCCTAGAATATGTAGAAAAGCGTATGTTCATGCTGAGTTCACAAATGGCCAGCTATTGGTCCTGGGGGCAAACTGTTGTGTTCTAGGGGAAGGACCATAGACCTCTTAATTTATTAATTTGTTGTTGTCCTTGAGCTTCAGTCAGTCATAAGGTGCCTGCTATATGCCAGGTACTGTGTTAGATTCTGGGGACACAAACAAGTGGCCAAAGACAGTCCTTGTCCTTGAGACACTTAAAGTCTAACAGCTGTCTTTGGCTTGGCCTCACAGGAGGACTTGGGTAGAGAAGAATGCAAACATGTTGGTTATATGTGACTGCCTTTTTTTTTTTAATGCTAAAATGGTGGCTAATATCAAGAAAGTGAAAATACAGGGACCCTCTTCTCCCTGCTAACACACATGTATCCATGTTCAGATGCAGTCACTTTGGGGTATTCTTGCTTAATTTGTATCCTTTGCTGTGAAGAAAGATCCAATATAGTGATGGGGGAGGTTGGGTTAAGAGAGTTCCATGAATAATTGTGATCTGACAACAAAAGACATCAATAAAATTTAAATTAAAAAGAAAAGCTCACATTTTTTAAGCAAAAATTCCATTTCTTTCTATTTATTCAATCTGTCTGTAGTGTCAGAAAATCATTATAAAATGCACCTCTGTAAATGTCGCCATCTCTGCTTTTGCTATTTTGGAAATTTTATCTTTGTTGTAAGCACAGAAGCGTATAGGGAAGGAGGCAGGAAGCAGGGTGTTGGTTCGTTCCACTGCCCTTTCTTTTTGGTGAATTTACCACCTCCAAATCTTTTCAGAATGACTCATGTTCAGTAGTTTTCAAAATAAGCTTTCCATCCTTTTTTGTTTTCTCTAAAACTCGTGAATAAATGGATCATACCAGGAATACAATACTATTTAATAAAATGGAAATGCAAGATCATAGATTTATACCTAGAAGAGACCTTAGAGGTCATCAATCCAGCCTCCTCTCTTTTATTGATGAAGAAACTGAGGCCCTGAGAAAATGTGATTCGCCCATGGTTATATTGGTGGTGCCAATATCTGAACCCAGTTTTTCTGACCCTGAACCAATAGTTTTTCCACCATATTGCAGCTGTCTTCACATGTCCCACTACAAAATTCAGGGATCATTTTAATATCACACAAGCTGAGGCCAAATTTTTAAACCTTGAGGGTAATAACATTTTAAAATTCCATTTCCAGGTACCTATTAATCTGAAGTCAAAGTAATTTTAGAAGTTCACATCACTGACACCAATATTTCTGACCTTCAGTTTCCATGAAACATTTTATTTCTCCCATCCAACCAGTCTAAAATTGGACTCTTCTATTAGTTTCATTAACAACAACTGCTTGTAGGCACATACAAACAACTTTACCTGTTCTATCATTCTTTAACATCACAGGGATTACTTCTTTCGAAGTCTTGGGAGGCTGGTAGATGTCTTTTAGTCTCAGCCTGTCTTTTTATTTTAGAAAAATAGTAAAGAGGGAAAAGAAAACAAGTCATGAATATAATCACCCATAATGTTAAGTAAATTAACTGAAAAAGTGAGTGAGTATATGTGCCTGTGTGTGTACGTATAGAGTGTTTAAATTGACTATTAAAGTTTCAAAAGACACACAGAAAAATGTGCACGCTACTTAAATACTTAGGTGGACTTGTGATCTCAGCAATTATGTGGCACATTGGATAGAGTGGTTGGCCTGGAGTCAGGAAAACGTGATTTCAAATATGACTTCAGACACTGACTAGCTGTATGACCCTAGTCAAGTCCCTCAACATGTGTCTACCACAGTTTCCTCAAATGTAAAATGGGCCTAATAATAGCAGCTATCTCACAGGTTGGTTGTAAGAATAGAATGAGGTAATATTGAGGTTTAGAGGTTTGGAGGTACTGGGACCCCAAAATCACAACATGCGGGTCCTGTCCTAAAGAATTTGACCCAAACCTTCTTTCAGTCAGGGACAAGGTTTATTAGAACATCCATCATATTGGGCAGACTCTTAAGGAATCTGAACATTAGTGAGCTAGATTATAAGAATCAGGGCATTTCGCTAGATTATAGGAATCTGAGCACCTTAATGAAGACAAGATGGACCTTAAATTCAGAAAGACTGTGGGAGAGATCTAGGAGTTGCCAAGTAGTCTGTGGGGGCTGTGAGGTAATAGAATAGCAGGCACCTGGACCATGTGGCCAAAGGAGAATGGAGCCTGGCTAAGATTAAGGGTGGGAAGTGGCCAGGGGCCATAAGGAGGCATGGAGGGCGGCTAGGCAAGGTTAAGGGTAACAGAGAATTGGGAGATTGGGTGTAGCCATAATGAAAGGCCAGTTGATGGGATTATAGCCTCAGGCAAACACCAGATATTTGGCAATGTGGGAAAAGTCTAGGGTTTTTCCTTTCTGGGGTCCAGATCCCAACCCCATCATTAATATTTGCAAAGTGCTTAGCATAGAGCAAGGTAGATAGTAGATTTTTAATAAATGTTTTGTTTCCTTCCCTCTTCCTTCTCCTTTATTGGAACGCATTATAACCTATCCATGGAGAGACCACCCAGTGACCTGAGAATCCAAGGGACTTCTAATTTTCCTGCCATTGGGTGGATTTCAGTGGAGCATGTTTGCTGTCCAATGGGCATGTTACATTTTAATAATAATTTCTAATTTTAAAATAAATAGCCTTCATGAGATGTTGTGGTAGAGAAAGAAATCATTGGGGCAGCTAGATGGCACAGTGGATAGAGCTCCAGCATTGGAGTCAGGAGGACCTGAGTTCAAATCTGACCTCAGACATTTGACACTTACTAGCTGTGTGACCCTAGGCAAGTCACTTAACCCCAATTGCCTCACCAAAAAGAAAGAAAGAAAGAAAGAAAGAAAGAAAGAAAGAAAGAAAGAAAGAAAGAAAGAAAGAAAGAAATTAATTGTCATTTGATGGTCAATTTTCAGGTGATAAGCCTTTCTGCCCCATTGGAAGAATTGCTCAGACCAATGAGACTAATGGGGTATGGGCCCCAGCTGAGACCTTTGCCCCTTGCCCCAAAAAGAATTTGGGTCCAATTTGTCTACAGACTCCAGAAAACCCTTAAACTCACTCTGGTCTCAGAAGGTTACCTAGTTACTTGGCTTTTCCTTATCTACTGTCCCAATCTCCCTTTGAAAACTTAATGAAGTCCTAGTATATTTCCCACCTTTGATCTTATCTGGACCCCATTCAAACCTCTGGCTTCCAGTTCTCTTCATTATCTGTTCCCATTGTCTATTCAACCTACCAGACATTCCAATCAGAATTCTCCTAAACTCCTCCCCCAGTCATCCATATCCTCTTCCCAGCCCCTCGTCTGGTCACTGAAAAATTACTTGAGTGTATATAAGATCCACCCTGGCCCCCACTTAAACACTGAGATTTTCTCATGCCCAGTTGTCTTTACAGGTATCACTAATGTTCAGGTTCCTTAAGATTCTGGCCTATATGATTATATGATAATAATAAAAAAAAAAGCAAAGCAAAACAAAAAAAACCTTTTGTCTCTGGCTGAAAGAAATTTGGGTTGAATTCTTTCAGACAGGACCCACTGTGCCATTTTGGGTCCCAGAACCCCAAGAATCTACCTCATCAAGACCAGAGCTCTATTGAAGTATCTTATACCCTACTGGCAAGAGTATGGAAAGAAGAAAGTGCAGTGTTTATTTGGCAGATAGGAAGTAGTCAGGGTTGAGCTGGAGTATTGGTGAGAAGCAGACAGTAAAACTGAAAGGGTAGATTGGAGTCAGATTTGAAAGGGATTTAAATGACAATTTTACATTTTATTCGGAAAGCAATGAGGAATTATTGAAAAATTTTGAATACAGGAGGTATCCTGTAACTAGAGCAGTACATCAGGAAAATTTAACTTGGTAGTGAATGTTGTACTGAAGTGTGAAGATATGAAGGCAAAAATATCAGTGGAGAGAAATTGAACTCCTCTCCTTCAGGTACACTAGGATCTACTCATGGAAATCAGATTGCTAGGCTTTAGCCTGCATTTCTAATGCACTTGTTCCATTTTGCATTATAGTTTTGCATGTACATGTTTTATCTCTCCATTAGAATACAAGCTTCTTGGTGGCAGGAGCTTTGTCTTCTTCATTCAACAATCATTTATCAATTGGTTCCTATGTTCAAGTACAAGACATTGACAATACCAAGACAAGAGAAAAAAATCCTTTCCTCCAAGGAGTTTACATAGATGATCAAATAAAACATTCCTAAGGATAAGTAAGTAAAGGGTAATTTGAGAATGGGGCAAGGCAGGGGGACAACTAACAGTTGCTCAGTGCTTGACTCAGTAGGGTCTTGATTATAGTAGCTTTATGATAAATTCATTGTTTGTAGTAACCCAGGTTAAAGCTGATGAAGGCTCAAGGGAAAAGGAGGGGACAAGTGGGGAGGGAAATCTTTAGAAATCTAGGACTTAGTAAATGATTGAATTTGATTGAGAAAGGGGTGTAAGGAGTTATTTCTCACATTGTATTGTTTCCTTCCTCTGCTCCCATCAGTAAGAACTACTTTCACACCCTTAGGGTAATCTTGTTTTTGCAAAAAGGAATAGAGGCTAGACCTGTGATTTCATTAATATGGGTAACTCCCAGGTGAGGAAACTGCTCCACCAGTGGAAATCACTACCTATAGTATTAAATAGCTATTGCGGGAGATATTACATCAAAAACAAAACTTGAACCCAGGTCTTCCTGGCTGAAAGGCTGGCTCTTATTCCACAAAGGCAGAGTGCCTCTAATCTCCTCAAATAGGAAAGAACTGGTTTACCATGTTCCTCAAGTTTTACTGAGTTAAAAGGAATGGACAATTTAGTTTATCTTTGTTCTATCTCAGATTTAATGACCTGTCTGGGAAGATCCTGCAAAAAGGTTGGTTGCACTCTATTTTCTTTTATAGATTTTCCTGTCTCGCTTCCTTGGGGCAGGATCCCCATTCTGTAGGTAATAGGTAAAATTAAAAGGTTAATTCCAGTAATTAAAGTATGATTTGAAGGGCTATTATTCTACTAAATAGAATTAGCCATCTTTAGTGGTGTAGAATTCACTCTTTTTATCATGGGGAAAATGCAGTCAATTTCAAAAAAAAAATGGTATTTAACAGTTAAACCGTTCTGACCTTCACAATCTCCTCCACAATAAAACAAAGAATGTCCTTGCCACATCATGGAATTATTTTGTTCTATTTCTTCTAGGTAGTTGGATTTATCTGTTGTTAAATATGAAATGAGAGGGAAAACTTTACTTGAACATAGGCCAAATAACCCTCAACCTTTCTATCATGCACATTGAATTTATGGAAATACATTTACCTGTGTATAACAGAAAGGTGAATTTCAGATTTGTAGCCAAGGGAGGTTAAAGTGACCCAATAAGAAAAATGTTTCCTTTAAAAATGATTATATCATTATTGATTTATTTTAAGATAGAAATAATATACATCATTAGAAAAATGAACAGTTCTCCTCTCTCACAAAAGAATAAACATATGTCGCAGCTATATCCAGGATCAATCCTTTCAAGTGTGGAGTATGTACCTGCCCACAGCCTGGCAGGGTTGGCTGAGGCAGAAGGAGTCAGGGTGGCCTCCCCCTGAAATGGTATAGAAATAGCACTTTGAGCTAAGGGTAGACACCCAAGCAGCTGCATTGTAAAGAAAAAAAAAAGATTTAAGATTTGAGAATTCAAATGGAGTCTGAAAATATCAAATTGTTGTATGGTCCCTGTATTTTAGTTTCTAAGCTTTCCTAACCCCTTCCTCATTGCTAAATTCTTTCATTGAGAACTTATTTATCTCTTCATATCATCCTTTTAGAATACAGTCTCTAGGGGTAGCTAGGTGGTGCAGTGGACAGAGCACCGGCCCTGAAGTCAGGAGGACTTGAGTTCAAATCTAGCCTCAGACCAAACACTTGACACTTACTAGCTGTGTGACTGTGGGCAAGTCACTTAATCCCAATTGCCTAAAAAAAAAAATATACAGTCTCTGCAGACATCTCTATAAACAACCCAACTTGACTTTCTAGTCTCCATCAATTTTTCCTGCCATTGTCATTGACAATGACATTTCCATTGTCAGCCATGATGTTTAAAAGGTTCATACCATGCAATGACTACAGGCCTTTTATTTGGTTGCCGAGGCAGAACTCCACGGCTTATATTGGAGGGGCGACCCATTCCTCAAAACTCTCCTTCCTGCTCTCTCTAATCCCCAACTTTGTGTGAATACATGTTCTCTAGGGATGGAGCCAGTACCTTCTCTTCTCTCTTCTTTGCTTTGAAGAAGGCCTTGTGAGATCTCTCCCTCCCCATCCCACCCCCCCACTTCTTCAGGACCTGAGTTACTGGGATGAGGGAAAAGTATTTAAGCATCACCTGAGCCAGCCTATCAGCTACAAGAGTTATAGAGTCCATAATGACAGAA